GGCTAAAAGAAAAGTTTATGTAGTTCCCTTATTTAAACCAAATCCACTTAAAATGAGCCTCCTGTTGTAAAAGGCTATAAATCGGACTAAATATTTCTACTCTAGTATCCTAAGAAACAATAAAACAACAGTTGAGTAAGACATACAGAGTAAATCATTATAGTATCGTTATCAATATGCCACTCATGAAATCCTGTCTTCTATGACTTCATAAAAGGGAAAAATATTATAATATTCCTTTCTCTTACAGAATTGACTCGAGTCTGAACAGATAGAAGTTACTGCATTGTTGAACACAAACAATATGCTTATTGTATAGCATGACAATTTAGATTAAGGATTGATGTTCACATTTTTTTTTGAATATTTAAATTTGATAAACATGTATTAAATAGTCAGTAAAATCAGATTCATTTTCTTTGCTAGAATAACCACCACCACCATCACCATTATACTTTTTCTCATTCTAACCATACAAAAAAACTGGACTGAAACAATTATAAAATCTCAAGATAGAACTCTATAACCCTCATGTACAATTCTTTATGTAATATTTATGTTCGATTTCAGGAACTATATTTTAAATGGAGCCATTTATTTCCTGATCTTTCAACAGACTACTCAATTTGAATGCTAATTTAGATAAATGTAACACTGTGGAAAGACCATCCATTTCAAAAAAAGAAGATCAAGATCTCTCATCCACAGAACACACTGATTAATTAGGATGCTTAGGGGTAGCACATCTCAGCTAACTTAAATGCTATGCTTAAGTCAGGTTAATCGGATTCACTTTGCCAGTACAGTATCCCAAAACTGATTCTGGGACGGTTCATTATTCTGAAGATTATCATTCTGAATTGTACCTGATGCACAAATTCTGGAAATACAAGAGATTCGGGCTGAATCTCCTGGATAATGACCCCATAATTATTATTTCCTTAATTCTCCTAAAAGAGGTAAATATAAGAGCCTAATTAATTGGGCTCCAATAACCTAGTGCCTTATTCTAACAGAAGGACAGCAATAGTTAATTCCTCTTAACATTAAGTTCTCAGGAATTTATCTGGATTCTCCCTTCATGTACATGGGCAAAATTACTTTTAAGAATCAGATAACTCTGGACCAAAACCTCCTACACAGTGCTGGTCTTTCTACAAATAAACAGCTTAATAATTGCGGCGGTTGGGGTAGGTGGGGTGGAGAGGAGAAATTTAGAATAGGTTTTTTAGTTTGCAGTTAAGTTTTGAGATTCAATGCAGTGTCTGTCAATTTAAAATTCATTCAAAATTATTCTTCACAGACCATATTAAAGACAAGGGCCGGCTCAAATATGAATGAGGTACAAAGGAAACATAAAAGGCTGCAATCAAAAGCACTTTAAATATTAAACATGAAGGGATATTATATATAAAATATGAACAGACAAGTTTTAAAGTCTAAAATTCTGCACTCTGACCCATGATACAACTGCTCTTTGCATCATGAGCTTCTGTGTTTAATATATCTAATAATATGTGTGACTAACATTTATTTAATATACACTATGTGACAAAGATGGTGCTGGATCCATTATGGAAACACAATCTCATTTAATCCTGACAACACTTCTGCAAAGTAATCACTGTCTCTATTTACCAGAAAGAGAAAATGGGGTTCAAATTGTAATTACAAGTAAAAAGAAGAATCAGAGTGGGGATTCACCAACGTCTGACTTCAAAATCTGTAAATTTTCTACAATACCACTTTGCTCTTCTACAAAACTAACTGGAGTCGATCCTCACTCCAACTTGTAGGTCCTACATATGCAAATTTGCATATCCACTAAAATTTATTTGTAACCCCCAAATCAATACTCAGAGTGTTTTCACGGCCATTCACAGACGTGAGAAGAGCAATGAAAAACTTGAGTCACCTGAGGCACATGTGCATGCCCTACTGAAGTCAAACAAGGCAACACTGCTTTCTTGTTTCCAGCTCTTAATACCGTAAACAAATGTCCTTTTTGTGGTTTATTTAGTGCCATGTTTTCCACCTTTTCGCGCTTTCTTTGGTGATTCACTGTGTTAAATGGTCCCCAGGCATAAGGCTGCAGTGCTGTTTGCTGCTGCTAAAGCACAAAGAATGCTGGGCTGTGCCTTACGGAGAAAACACACGTATTAGATAAGCTTTGTTCAGGCACGAGCTATAACGCTGTTGGTCATGAGTTCAATGTGAATGGATCCACAATATATGTTAAATAAGGTGTTCTTAAACGAAAACACACATAAAACAAGGCTATGCATTGATCGAATGGTGAAAATGTCACGACCAAAGGCTCACAGGAACATAACCCTGCGTTTCTCTCAGGAGCAATGGTTCAGCATTCTCTAATTCAGTGTTGCCAGCAACTTTATAGAACATTACTATGGTGAATAATGAAAACTCTGATTGAAAGTTTTTCTCCAAAAATGTTTACATTAATATTTCAGTAAAAGATTCTCCTTCTGTCATTTCCTTCAAAGAACATCATTATTTTTTGTAGCCATCACCCATCTGTTTTAAGAAAAAGAAACCCTATGCTGTCATTCCATTTAATGGGTTGCAGCTACATGTGTCTGACTTTGCTCAGGAAACTCATCTCTCTTAAAAGCAATCTGGCTTTCCAATGTGAAAGTCTAAGGAATTAAGTTTCATTGCTTACTACTGGATGTCAGAGATACTGTTTGAAGATGACTGTTTCATGAGATTATGATTTTTAAGACTAGGTGGTTACATGTAATAGGGACAGTACAAGCAACAACAACAACAAAAAACTTAGCATAGGAATTTAAAAATATCAGCACAAATTGGAACTCTTACCTTTCTTGCCCAAGTCAGATATTTTATTGGAAAAAAAAAAAAAAAAAGATTACAGTACTTAAAACTCCAAACAAGGACAATTCAGAATTGAAAGAAAGAAAACCTGAAGGAGCCCATTGTCTTCAGCAAAATTTTGAATACAAAAAACGTGGACCAGGAAAACAGTTTGTGGCCTAATGCACTAGTTCCATGATAAACACCACATATAGTATATCTCCATCAAGTGAAACTTAATCACCTTTTTACAATTGAGAGAGGGAAGGCAGCTTTTACCATGGTTAAGCCATGTATCATCAATACCATGAAGCCAGCCTATCAGTTGTAATAGCTTCTATAAAATACCACAGTAAGATTGCAATAAGCCTAGAAAATGGGCTACAAATCCCAGCTATGCTCAAGCAAGCAGTGAACCAAAAATAAAAATAGGTAAAACTGAACCAAGAGCTAGATAGCATTCATCTAGCTTCACGATTGGTAAGGCAAAGTTCATAGGCCAAGGTTTTAAAGTGACTTATTCAGATCTAAAAGACAGTCGTTATACAAAATAAAATAAAAACATTTATGTAAATTCAGAAAAAAAATCACGAAGTTTCACTCCAAAGGACACAGCACAAAAAAGCTTACTTACAATGACCGAATACCATATTATTGTCCCTCTAAAATATCACTTTAAATATGCAAAGGTAAAGAGACTCAAAGTTGCACTTTATCACTTTTCATCTCTCCGGTTTAGACAAGGAATCTAAAAGATGTCACACATTCCTACTTAATACATTTGCTGGAATCTTTCAGATTGTAACTTTAGGTAAAGAAAATGTCAACTTTAAGTTTCTTTTCCAATCATCATATTTAAATTAGCCATTAAATGCTGAATTAACAATGAATCCATACAATAATATAAAAATACATGTATTAAATCACAATTTTCATCGATTATTAGCACTCAATAAAAATATTCATCACTTTCATATAACCATTTTGAAGAGCTGGGCTGAACGTAGTGTAGTGTCTAAATTATACCATCAATAGAAATGTTACATTTTCCCTTATGCCTGGTGAAAATGAGCTCATGCACGTATTTTTGACACTCACAGTGACACACACATTTGCCATTCTAAGGATGGGTAAGCAGCTCTCACTTTTAAACATGACAATATGATTCAGTCATACAGTATTTGTTGAAATACCAGCTTTCACATGAGTTCAATACGCTCTAAGCAAGAATGATCATTTTGACGGTTTCAGGTATCAGACAGAGAAGATAATTTAAAAGGTAAGAGTAAATGATTCCACTAGCACAAACTAGTTATCACCGTGACCACTTTAAAACTAAGATTTTTCCAAGTACAATAAAAACTGTACTATAAAATACAATGGGTTTGCAATACAGAGCAGATTATCCAAGTAGAAAGCAAACTTCAACAAAATACAAACTCTAGCATTATCAACCTTACCTATTACTCATCTTAGCCCTTGTTAAAATACCCTGAGTAAAATGCAAATATTTTAAATAATGTTGGCTATATAAGATTGCTCTAAAAATGAACCATAAATGTCAATGCATCACGTTTTTAAATTTACAACAGTCAGATATGTAAAAATGAGTTCTTATCCAGTCACAATATAAACATTAAGGAATACTGATGTGAGATCTGGAAGTTTTTAATTCTCTAGCTTTTGTTAGCATTTTGGCAAAGCAAGTGATACATAAATGGATTCAATGTAAAAAAAATCATAAAAGAGAAAAATATATAAAATTTACAGTAGTTTCTATCCACCCTGGGCCAACCTAGATCCCTAAAAGCCTCCCCCATCAGGTTCACTTCTGACTAAAGGAAGAATACCAGTCCTCCAGCAAAAACAGCCCCATCTTTTCATCAAAGAGGCTCTCACTTCAATGATATTCCTCCAGGGGAAGAGGACAGGAGCCAGGTTCCCTCGAATGTCATTCCCCAGATGTTCAAAACGTAACTAATTTATTAGCATTAGAAGATTTGGTTTATAGGGGAATCTCACTGGTCCAGTTTGTAGCCTACAAAAAAATGGATTATTTTTAAGTATAACATTAGAATATGAATAAAGGATGAGGATGTGGCTTTTTATTCCATAGAAATGGATACATTTCCAAACATGAGAAGTAAACAAGAAAGCATGCCTACCATTGAAGTTGGGGTCCCTCCCGATTTTTTAATATTCTTGGAAGGCATTCCATGAAGGCGACTGAGTCTGGCTTGGAAACCTGGAAAATCAAAGTCCTCAATTGAAGGAGGGTCTATGATCACTGGAGCATGGAATAAGATCCTATCAATTCAGAATTCAACGTCAGTTGGAGGGGGAAATGTATTGAACAGCAGTGGGGAAGAGGCAAAATTCACACTGAAAAGATCCGAACCAATGCCTAGTAGGGTTTTAATGCAGCCAGCACATGACAACCAATTGTTTAAGCATTAGAGTATTATCCAGGGTTTTTCTTTCCTCCCAATTTATCTTTCTATCATTTCAACGTTTTTACCATGGGCCTAGCAAGAAAGCAAGTCAACCTTCCTAATAAATTGAAAGCATGAGAATTCAGTGGGAGCTGAATTGCTGGTCACCATGTTTCCTCATAGCATCTTGTGTCTAGAGTCTTTCATTTCCATTTAGCGCCTCCTCTTTCAATGACTATTCCTAGGCTGACTATAAGTCCCCTGTATCCACCAGTCAGGCAGTGCTACTGACCTCTTCTTCCCGGATGTGACATAAGGGGGAAAGAACCAGTTAGGATACTTTCAAAGACAGGATCTGGTAAATTTTTGTCTAGATCAGTAGGATCTTCCTTTTCCCACCAGGGAATGACTCCAGTGATGCCACAAGCTCCCCCTGATTCCTTTTCATAAAACCAGTCGCTCTGCTCATCATCACCTGTGCAAATACAAGAAATCCCCCAGAGATTCAGTTTTATCATCCAAATAAACTGAGTTGCCAGATTCAGATTTAAAAAATACAAGATGGTAATGAAATCTGAATTTTAGATGATTCATTTTTAATATAAATATATAGTACTTGTACAAAATTTTTAGTATACATCCAAATACGAAATGGGTCCTACTTATACTAAAAAAATAATTATTTATCTAAAATTCAAATTTAATTGGGCATCCTGTATTTTATCTGGCAATCATCTATATAATCTATAAAGAAAACTTTTTATTTTACACCACGGTTTCACTTAAGAATTTTTTTTTTAAAACTATAACAAGAACTTCCATCAACAATAACATAAAATGTTATGTTTCAGAACCAATTTAAAAATGTGAAAACCAATAATATACTGGTTAATCCTTTGGCAAAAACTGTAGGGAAATACAGTTAAGTTACTACCCTTTCCATATTAAGGAAAAATAAACCTTAATCTCCTGCCAGGAATTAAAAGGTATAAAATTATAGAACTCGTTCTTTGCAGCTGATAATGGTATATAATTAGCTTAATTTCATGATTTCTATGGAGTGCAAAAGGGGAAACAATCATGAACAGATGTGACTAAATGAAATTAATCTGATTAAGTTCATTAAGAAATAGTTGTGAAAAAGTTGATTTTAAATGAAAAGTGACAACACTACAGGGTTTACAGAGAAACTACACTGAACCTCTACAAGCAAGGTATTTTTAAAACAGAATCCTATTCATAGTAAGTCCGACTTCTAGGAACATCCTTGAGTGTAACCATGAAGTAACAATCAATTTAAAATTCAGTTTGAAATGTGCCCGTGGTGTGAATCAACAGTATTTTGTATTTTTTTAAAAATGTAATAATAAAGAGATGTATATGGAGACAAAAAAACAAAAAAAAAACTCAAAAAAAGCAAAAACAGAAAAGCAGATGGTTTTAAAAATAAGAGACAAATAACATTTTGAATATGATCTGAGATTCATTAGTCTTCTCATGATTCTTAGAAAAACTACTAGCTTCTAAGAGGGTCGTCACAACTGCTGTAAACTTTTTCCCTTTACAGAAGATTTCTGGTTTCCAAAATCTCTTACTACAAATGTTTTTAGACACAAACTAAAAAAACCCTTAAACTTCCACTGAAAATGATTTTATGGGAAATGGCTGTATTTAGAAATATGAGGGAGTTAAAAATTTAAAGCATTTGGAAAACCAAAGTCATATGTTTATTTCAATTGAGGATTTAATAAAAATCATTTTTTTAAAAAAACAAGCAGAATTCAAAGCACACATATATTAGTACTTTCATTGAGAGTTATAGTAGAAGTTCACAGGTCAGGTATAAGCATAAGAAAAGAAAGGGAGTCACTTGAAACCGACTACCCTAGACCTTCATTCCAATTAGACAACATTAGAATAGAAAAATGGGGTTATTTTATTTTTGATGTGATACACAACTTTATTCTTAATACAGAAATCAAATAGCTACAGATTAAGAACTTGGGTTCTAAAGTCAGACAGAACAATTAGATTTCTACTGTTTTGTAACACTGGGGAAGTTACTTCAACTTTATTAGTCTGGGTTTCATCATCTGGAAAAAAAAAAAGAGGGGGAGATCTCATAGGGTTGTATTAAGAATCAAACAAGAACTTAAAGTAAGTTAAATGTAAAAAAGCACTTAGCAATATGAAACATAATAGGCTCACAATAAATGCTAGCAGATTATTCTAAGCCATTCAATGCTTCTCAAAGATGGATAGGCTTGTCAAAACGTTATTTTTTAAAAAAGTGTTTTCATTTCACTTCATTACCAAAGGCAATGTTTATAACATAACTTTGGGTAGACATAGGTGTTTTAACAAGAATTTAGGTATATTATCAAGGTAGTCAAGCTTACTCTTAGCCCTGAGGTTCTAACATATTTCAGTGAAGTCTGTGGTCTTCAAAACAATTATGTATCTATTTATTGGGGACAAATGGTTTACAGTAAGAAAAAAGGAATAATAATTTAATTTACTTAATTTGTACTGCCAAGAGGAGGAAAAGACTAAGAAAAAAACTGTGGGGCAGCTATTATTTTATCCTTTTTTTCATAACATCATTAAACTATTTATAATTAAAAAAAAATAAATTTTGTGGGGTTTTTTTTCCCCTTAGAAATTACTGCTTTCCTCTAAAGATCTCAAGAAAGGAAGAAAACACTTATGATAAGTATTCGTATGTATGTATCCTGCCCCCTTAGTAAGGTTTTCATATTTTCTACTGGGACAGGTAGTTTCAAAATAATGCCACGTTAAAGTGTGAAAAGCTTCAGGAAATTTCAAAGATGGGAAAGATGTAAGTTGAAAGACATTACTGTTTAACAGTGTACAATATTGATTTCAGGAAAATGGTCTAATTACTTACAAACTGGATAGGATGAATAAATGTCACAGCTGAATAAAAATGACAAATGACTTGCAAATCCACCTTTATTAATGCTTAAACAGAATTAAATACATTTGGAACCAGGTGGAGAATGAGAACCAGGGTCTTGTGAACTTGCTAAAAGAGACAAAATTGAAAAGACTTGAGGTATGTAAAGCTTTCTCAAGGAAGATAATCCTTCCTTAACATTATTAGCTCCACAGACTAGCTTTTGGAGATAATTAACTACTTTAGGTTATGAAGACATAGCATGGAAAGGAACTAAACCCCAGCCCACTAAGCAGTGTGTGGATTGCACTAAGGTAAATGGATTGCAGTCATCAATTTATGAAACAACTAGTAATAAGCACAACTTAAAAATGAAGGCATTTTTCGCAAAGAGATAAAAAAATATCATCTCAGTACCTTGTCTTCCCTCATCATTGGTAAACAAACCAGCATCAGTGCTGCTGAGACTGCTGGATTCACTAAAATAAGGGAAAAGAAAAAAAAAAAAAACAGATGAAAAGAACAATTGATCTCTCAGTTGTCAAATTTTAAAGAGACATGGCAGCTCAGAGATGGAACTTAAGCCTGACAAAGATCTGAAAGAAAATAAGATGATTTTTTTTAATCAAACTGCAAATATCTCGGTTCCATTAACTACAGAGCATATTATTTTTGGCACATAAAACCACAGGAATCTAATGGGACTCTGACAGCAAGCCAGATGTGACTGCAACGAGGTGCTGACACAATTGATGCACTTCATTATCTGCTTTCATCAAATGCTTACTGCTCCTTTCTTATTCCAGGCAATTCAGCTTGAGCCCTGAACACCACTGCTCAATAAAATGGGAAAAGTCTCAATCGAAAGCAGGCTCAGCCTTTCTTCAGCACATGAAATAAATACAAGGGCCTGGGATAGAATTACTTTTCATAACCATATTTGCAAATATTCCAGAAGATTCATTTCTTAAGAATTCCCAACAACTCTATTATTTGGCAAGGAGGAAAAAAGTTTACAATGGTAACAATCCATTAAATCAAAGCTAAGGTCTCTCTGAGCAGAAAATGAATATTGCCAATTATTAAGGAGGAAGTATACAAAAATAACAGGTTCTTATTATTTCCACAGAAGTTGGAGAGTATGATACAGAGTCAAACTTAACATGAACGAAAATAAATAGTAAATATTCAACTGACATGAATTAAACTGTCAGTTTTATCAGAAGCAATGCTTATATGAGAGTCTAGTTAGTTAAAAAAACCATAAGGACAAGGTCAGATAATAAGGGGTTTAGTTTTTAAAGAATATTGAGTGATGTCCTTAAAAATTCTCATATACTCTCTTTTTACTGTAATTCTTAATTCTAACCAATCAGGAAATCGCCCCAGGTGATTTTTAAATTATAATACTTTTCCATCAACAGGGAGAATTCTGTAATCTTAGTTTAAAAAAAAAAAAAAAAGCATCCTAATCTGTTTTAAAATATTTCAATTGGGAGTTCAGCATTAAAATTATAGATGAAATTCTAAATCCACATACTTTTTCTGAATATAAAATACCATTTCAGATTTTGTTTGATTAAAAAAATAAATATAAACAAAAAGTATAAAAATTTAAGTGGCACATTCTCCCAAGAAACTGAATTAGTACCTTTTTCTTTAACTTTCTTCAAATTAAGTGAATGTATGAAACTATCCTGCACATATGTTAAGGAAAGAAAACAATACTTTTTAAAAGCATTATATCAATACATATTTTCTTATTTACAAACAGGTATGCTCTTCTATACATAGTGGTGTTTTTAAAACACACAGTGGTGTTTTTGAAACACATAGTGGAGTATTAAAAACACTTCAGAATCTTTCTGCTATTTAGCTGCCCAAACTACTATGGATTTTTTGTTTTTTTCTCTGAGCCTGAGTAGTGCTTTCTCATCCGCCCTCATCAACACAACTCTAATAAAGGGCCTTTACATACATACCTTGGGTTAAATTCTTTCTCTGAAACCCTCGAGGCAAAATTATTTAAAATTCATACATTTTTACACTTTAGAAAGGTACATTCTAAAATGCCTAAGAGGAGTCTGGGGTAGCACTTCATAATCAAACATATTAATATATTTTTTCAATTAAATGAAGGAATATCCATGTTAAATATAGGTCAGGTTAGGTCTGGCCACAAATTAATTAGTTTTTCACAGCTTTCAGGATTCAGATTTGCAGATAAAGGGCTGTGAATCTATGTGGCTTTATTTATTTATTTATTTCAATGGTCTTCCAATCTCTCTGAGTTCAGATTTACCCCTTTTAATCTATTCTACACATAGCCAGCTTCACCTTTTCAAAACATAACTGGTTGACTAAAAATATTATGGTATCCTGGATGGGATCCTGGACCACAAAAAGGACAGTAAATAAAAACAAAAGAAATTCTAATAAAGTATTTACTTCCGTTAATGTGTCAACATTGGCCCATTAGTTCTGACAAATGTACCATAGTAAACGGATGGTATTACCAATAGGAGAAGCTGGGTGTAGGATGTATGGGAACAGGGTATACAGAAACTGTGCTATCTTTGCAAGCTTTCCGTAAATCTAGAACTATTCTAAAAGAAAGTTTATAAAACACACAGGTGCATATATGTCTGTGTGTAAAAAAAAAAAGTCTATTAAAATTCTTATGTATAAAATAGATAACTAATAAGAACCTGCTGTATAAAAAAATTAAATTAAATTAAATTCAAAAAAAAATTCTTAAATTACTTCCTCAGATTTATAGGCTTAAATTTAGTTATCAAGGCTTTCCATGGATGGGCTCCCACTTAAATTCTTCCCATCCCCATCTCTGGTCCTTTTGTTTATGTCCTTTCTCCAAGAGGTATCACTATCTCCTCTCTCTTCTCTGCCTGTTGTTCTTCTTAAAGATACAAGAAAATCAGAATTCCCTCTCTAAGATCAGCTCTTAGCCCTTAACGATCCTTGGCCTACTTTGAGATGTTTTTACACGTGTTTTAAACAACATGCTTCCCTATTTACATTTCATCTAATTGACATCTAGCTAGCTGCTCCAAGTATATCATGTAGTTGTTAGTGGGTACAATAAATCAGAACAAGAACTTAAACAGAAGCAAGGCTTTCCATTTTCAGGAGCTGAGGGTCATTATGGCTTATCTTCAAGGACACCTCTTCCCACTTTTTTTTAGTATGACTTTTATAGCACAGTATTTAGAGGAGAATATATTCCATGAACGCTTGTTGAATTAATGCATGGATACCAATCCCAATCCCCTGCCCCAATCTGTTCATTTCCTATATTTTCTATTCTTGGTACCTGTGCATCATCTGAGAGTCCTCTTTCTCATTCATCCTCCCAAAAATATAGGCAGCCAACTTCCACTTATTCCAACTCTTAAAACTGCTCCCATATTTTTTTTGTCCTCTACTACTGCTGCCGTAATTCACCTCCCTCTTAAGGATGGACTGGAGGTCAGCCAAAACTAGACGAGCCACTGTTGTCAAGGTCAGGTATCTTGATAAAATATAAATCTAATTGACTAAAAATTCTTCACTGACTTCCCATTACTTATATGATGAAATCCAAACTACCATTGCACACAGGCCTTCAAAACACAATTATTGCTGTAGCCTCCGCTCCCACTTTATGTAATGCAGTTACATTACCTATACTTTCCCGCATACACAGCACTTGCTTCACAACCATGTCTCTGCATAAATTATTCCCTCTAGCTGGGATGATCCGCCTTAACTCCTCGATATCTGAACAAGGCTTTCAGTCACAGTTCTTTAGGAAGTTTTCCCTCACCAGTACCCTCCACTCAGTACATTTCTTTTTCATCATTTGCTTGTTTGGCTATTCCAGGTCGTGAGGCTGAAGAGAACCGGGGCTGTCTTATTTGTCTTGGGACCATGAGTGGTGAACAGTAAACAGCAGTTATTCAGATGTGTGTTAAATCGCATGCACAGACAGAAGTAGCTCCGTTCTTATCTATAAATCAGTTCCAAGGCAATATATAGCTTCTTATAGCAGGAAAGCTCTGGAAGAGTGGTCTCAAAAAATGCTTATTCTTGTGGGGAAGATACTTTAAGTATTTAGCAATTTTCCCACAGAAGGAATATGCACCTAACTCTTAAGTGACCACAAAGAATAGCTGTATAGGTAAGTTTAAAATAAGAGGAAATAAATTTAATTTATTCAAGAGTGAAAACATCCTTTTTGAAAATTTGTACTTAGGCTGTTGACTGCTGAGTAGCCTGATGGCACCTAATACTCAAATATTTTTTACAATGAAAAGAAATGAGAGTTTTATCTCATTTCTAGTCCATGGTACACGTCTGTCAATAAAAGGAAGACATCAATAAAAGGAGGGGCTTACACAATCAATCCAGAAAGCAGGTAATCTGTGAATAATCCAGAATTGAGGATCTATCTCCGCTGCCACACACCCTCCCTCCCAGCAACTAAGCAAGATAATTACTTTCAAGTCAAGCTGGATGGTCCTCAGTCACAATGGCCCAATACCTGCATACAAATAGTTCTCATTCCGGTATAAAAATGACAACTTTCTTGGAAGAAAAGTAGGTGCCATAAACTTCTCAAAACCTTCCTGAAACATTTATGTAATTTTTAGTTCTTTAGGAAAATTACATAAATAGCAAACCACCTCTAATAACAGGTCCATTCTATAAACTTTTACCAGGTCCTACGCATACCTGTAACCACATTTACAAGGGAAAGAAAAAAAATATATATATATGCGTTTATGAGATCCATAGCTCACAATCCACATGATTAAAATGATGCCAATCTTACCAATTAAAAATCAAATACTCTTTCCAAGACCATTTTTAAAGAATATTTTTTTCTTGACCATAGTTGTGCATTTGATTTCAAGGACATGCTTAAATGGACGAACAGTGTCAATGTTTTCTCATTCCTGCAGGTAACATTAGTTCTGTGTAAAAGAAAAGTGATCACTTACCTTTTGAAGGTGTCAAAACAGTCCTTAACAGCTATCATTGTGGTATACCTCTTTTCTAGAATGGACAGATTAGACTAACTGCCAAAGGATTACTGTTTCTCCCATGTGTCTAATGACAAGATCAGGAGCTTCTAGACTATAAACTGGGTTTTACAATTCATAAGTGATCAGAATTCCTAGCAATCTACAGACTTCTTAAAATATCTAGCCACTCACGGTGAAGTGGTGTCAACTCTGGTTCTCAGGAATCAGAATAAACTGATGAACCGTGACACTAAAAAGCACTGACGGCTAAAGCTCTATAATTAAACAAGTAAATAATTATAAATGCAATTCTAACAGTTATAAATGCGCCGTTATTCAAAGGCATTCTTTCCCATTGAAAATCCATTTCCTTTTCTCTTTGTAGCTGAAAATTAAGTCATTATAACACAATCAAAAGACTGTTCATAGATCAGACAAGCAATTTTGCTTTGGGCTAAACATCATAAGTTATAAGTAAATATAACCACGGTTAAACGGTGTTATCACTACCATTATTATAATTTATGATTATTTTAAAATAGAATTAAAATCCGAAACACATTCAACGGCAAACAGTGGAGACATATTTTTATATTTAGAGAGTAGAAAAGTCACCTTTCACTCATGAGTTCGTCTGAGACTTTTTGCTCTTCGTATCCCATTTTGTCCTTATTGGTCTGGCTCGTTTCCTCACTTTCTAAGACTACTCCTTCGTCTTGGATTTTGGGTCCTTGTCTAACTATTTTCAATTTCCTCTTCTTGACCTTGTTCTTGGTAAACTCGTGACATTGGTAAGCTCTGTTGTCATGGTCCATGTCCTGATCTCTGCAGCCTTCGAGGGGCTGGGTCACCGTCCGCTTGTTAGCGCTGTCCTGCGGGAGGTCCACTGCCATGCGCTTGACCTTCCTCCTCCGGCGCAGAGTCCTGTTCCCAAGGCTGTCCACGGCAAAATCAGACTCATGCCAGAGAGGTCTTTTCCCTCGAACGTGATTATTTAAGTTCGATGATGGCCTGCGCTTTGCCACTAACATTTGGTCGTCAGAGTCACTGTGATCTTTTTTATTATTATTGTGATTCTCTCTGTAGTCCTTGCTTGGTTCTTCTAAACTAGAATCAGAGCCTTCACTTAAGCAGTGACCGGTCTCCCACGGGTGATGAACATTATGCGACCTCCGTTTTCTCCCTCTGCGTTTCCTGGCCTGGCGTTTCAGGGGGCAAGAGATACTTCGAGAATGGTCTCCAGTTTCGGCGAATCCACCTCGAGCTTGCTCCGAGCTCTCCTCCAGGGCTGAGGCGAGATCGTGAACCAGCTCTTCCATGGTTCGACTGAAATGCCTACATTGTTTTAGAGAAAGAAGAAAAATTTAAATAGTCAGAGTCAACCATACTAACCTGGTTTATTGCAGCAGACAATTCATTCCAAATCTGACTAGAATTAATAGTTATTATAAAGAACTGTGTAAAAGCTGCTTAATTTTCCTATCTAAGATATTACAGTTCCAAACATTCTGACTCATTTTTAAGTCTTTTCTTGTATAAGTGCTTTTATTAAACACAGGAATTACTTCAAGATAGAGTAAGCATAATATCAGCAATGAAAGAGCCCAGTGATTTTATATTTTTACCGTCTAATTATGGAAAAGTTATTTCTGCTTAAATCACCGTACCTTAGTCTACTCCTATCCTTTTCCTAAAGACAGTTTTCAGAGCAGATGTACAGAGTAAAGAGAACTTTCTCAGTCCCCCTCCCCCCCCCCCCCACACACAAATTTCTAAGGAAACAAGGAAACATACAACCTTTTTCCCACCACATGCTCTACCCAGTCACTGCCATGACATGCGAGGCAGACAGAAAGATAGGCAGCTACGTTCAAGGTTTGTAACATATGTGAAAAGAAAATTTAACCAAACGCTAGGCATATATTGAGACCACACTAATCTCGCAACCCAGTGCAGCAGAAGCTCTGTTCGTATTCAACCTGGAGCCCCACTGATGTAAAATGGCCTATCATTTTTCTCACCATTACCCTGAAGCAGTCTCTTAGGCCTTACAAAAACAAAAAACAAAAACCTGAACTATGTGAGAAAATCGCCCACTAGTCAGCAGGGATAAACATTAGTGTTCTTTGGGAACCTCTGTAAATTATATGGGTCCTTTCCAAACCCAACAGGGCCCAGACACATGATTTTATTTTTTAAACGTTACAGGTAATTCAAATATGCACCGTTCTTATGAAGATCATGAACAATCACTTCTTAAACTGAGTTCTAGAAGCACCTAGGATCCAAATATTCTCGATTATAAAGGACTGTATAGTTTCTAGAGTCTATAGCAGGGGTAGGCAAATTTGCTATAAAGGACCAAGTAGAAAATACTGTAGGCTCCACAGGCCATTAGGTGTCTGTCACAACCACTCAACTTTTCCCATGCTAAGGCCAAGATAATCGTAAGAAATACAGAAATGAATGGATATGGCTATGTTCTAATGAAGTTTTATTTACAAAATCAAGTGATGGCCAGCCATACAATCTTTATAGTCTGGTCTACATACAATCTTTATAGTATATAATTTCAGGTGTTCACAAGTTCCCTTTAATGACTTTCAACTTGATCTTTTCATTTTAATGATAACTTGAAAACAAACACGTGTGATTCAACTGGATTTAACACAATACGAAACACACATAGGGCTTCCAACACTTATTTATTATGTGCCAGGCTCATTTCTAAGTGTTTCATATGCATTACCTCATTTCATTTTCACATAATAACCCTATAAGGTGGTAGCAGAAATACACAGAAACAGAGATTTAAGGTAGGCTTGCCCAAAGTGACACATGTAGGAAGTGGTAGAATCAGGATTCAGACTGTGGCAATCTGGTTCCAGAGCCTGAATGCTCACCCAACTACAGCCAAGAACAGCCAAGAACAGCTACCAAGTCCAGTATCTGGTTTGCATTTTTATTTATGATTGATTTAGCAGCAGGGGATACTATTTATTGTTGAGACAGATTTAATACGCATCTATGTAAAGCTGATGACTCACAGTTAAGCATTGTATTCTTCTGAATAGAAAAAAGGGATGGGAGACCTGAATCAACATAAGGCACTGGGCAGCTGGGTGGTGAAAGTGAGTTGAAAAGAACCAGTGATGTAGTCCTCAGTAAAATGCACACTGTGAGCAATTAAGTAATAGGACATTGTCTTTCAGTTAATGTGGGTTTGTATTTTCCAGATCTATCTCCTTAGACATTCTGAATGAATAAACAAAAAGTCTATATAGACAAACATTTTTCAAAAACATGGTGATTCAAATATATATTTTTTAAATGAACTCTGGAGGGCCGCTAAAAAATTTGTTTTGCCTTTAAAAGGTTACTCGGGTTTCAGAACACTGAATTTGATGAAGAGAAATATGCATCACATAGGAATTAGCATTAAGCCAATACAAGGGCTACAATTCCAACTACATTGATAAGCCAAATGGATCTTATTTCAATACCTAAATGTTAATAATTGCCTTTTTTGTTTTCCGTTTATTGCAGTGAATATTTTGGTTTTTTCCTTAACACTATTTCTTTGGAGGAAACGTAGTCTGAGAATTATTATCTCTGAAAACAACACTGTACCTTTAAAAAAATTCACTGGAAGCCAGTTTAACAAGTACTACAATAAAGATCCTTTGTCTAAAGGAAGACTCAGTATCACCTGGTTCTGGAGGAATTTACTTTTTGAAGAAATAGTTTTCTTATCAATGGGTGAATGACTGGTTCAAAATAGTAATATGAAATTAATTAACTCAATGCATGAATATAATCTCCAACTAAAATTGCAGGTTATTTTGGAAGTTAAACTTTAGTGCTTTACTTCAGAAGAGAAAATGTAATGGTCCTAACATTAGAAAAAGCTGAGCACATCAGATTTAATCTACTGAAATTTGATACTATTCATTAATTTCATTTAAATTAATTCATTATACTGCTGTGACTAATGCAGTTTAACCAAATATAACCAATACTATTACTAAAAATGGAAGCAAAATTTCTTTATAACATTATGAAAATTGTGCCAGCCTTATCTGATTTTATACGGATTTTCTTAAGAGAAAATAAAAAATATTTTAACTAGAAGAATCTAATTTATTCCATGATGTGATTCAAATATGAATCAATGAAAAAACTACTTTAAAAAGCTTTTCAAAAAAACCCCTATAAAAACACAGAAAAAATACATTTAAGTGACATTCAGAGTTCAAATCACTTTTTCCCCTTTAGTTTCAACTCACCAGAGTCCTGCAAGTCAATCTCAACCAAAACTCCTGTAAATGAGCCAGTACTATTAACAGCTAGTCAAGCTGCTTCACTTACACCTCTCAGGTAAAACTGGCGTCAACAAGCTTCACAGAAATAGTCATTATAAGAGACCATCACATGATCAATAGCCCATTTATTTCCTTTGACTTGGCAGTTACTGAAGACCATTGCCTGGAAACATTTTATCCTAAAGATATTTTCCTAAATAAGCCCTTTCTTACTGGAGGCGAAAACTGGAAATACGTAACTTTTCTGTACAAAAACCTATGTTTATTAAGCAACCATAGTTTTAAAGACTGAATTATAGTAAAATCCAGTGAATTACCACTTAGCTAATTTGTAAGTTTTATATTCACATTTATAAAACAATTTCTCTTCATTTGGAACCCAATGGAAATGAAATCTTTTGGGAATAGTTTGCACTGAGTATAATGTCTAAGAGAACACTTCACCAATCGTTTTCTTAAGCTAGTCCAAATGAATAGAATAAAATGACAGTCCCACTATTTATATAAAGTTGGATTTTGTAAAAGGAAATGACTTGAATAGATAAGCATTTTGTTTTTTCATGTGGTATTATATTATGCTGAGCAATCTATAAAATGTATGATCAACCCAGAAACTGATATGCCAGTTTCAGGTAAGAATATTTGGCCAAAGGTCAAGTTTGTTTGTTTGTTTGTCCTCCTCCAGGCAACATTAAACATCCAGTAAAATGAGTGAATTTCTCTCCTTGTCTTCCTTTAACACCAAGTTCTAATTAATTCAGAAAAGGGCTTCCTAAACAATGTATGCTCCACAGTGAGGAAGATCAGTTAATGTAGAAAACACTGCACTGAGCTTAAGGGTTTTTTCGAATGTTTTTGGTTCAAGGAAGAAGAATCAGGAAGCTGCCCTAGTCTTAAGTTACTGCTCCTATGTCATCAAAGAACTGACAAGTTGACCGAAGAACCAAGGGCCTCAAAGGGAGTCCACAATGTAGAGGTAGGCATAGCAGGAGTTGAAGTCCAAGAAAGCCCAGAAAATAAACTCCCCCCAATAACCAACAACTAACCATTTTGTCAATGATTATTACTTTTTTGAAGCCTGTATTGATAATAACTACTATTCCTAGAAGGGAAAAATATAGCATATATGGGAAAATTAGGGAATAATTTCCTTTTCTGGATACCGATAAAATAACTATAACAAGAGGATGGACGTGTGTGTCTACTGAATAAACCCACCAAGTTCATTATAAAACAAAAATCTTCCAGATATACCTAAAGGGTATACAGACTACAGCTTTCACATTATCTAGTTAAGGAAAAAAAATTAAATACTCTTTACCAGCTCGTACATGGTAAAATTCTCATCTTCATCTCTGTAAAAGATTAGATCTTCTACAAAGTTAAGTAATTTTAGGAGTGGAGTGCTAAAAGGTACCTATTGCTAAATACAACTGTTCACTTGGCTTCAAAAATTTAAGGGAATAACCATTTACGTGTTAGATTCTGTATGAATAAAAATTCAGTGAGTACAAAAACACTGAACCAACAGTACATAGTCAAGAACTATGCTGATGAATATATACTATTACTACCACAAGCTTAAGAAGAAAATAGTTTTGGAATTAGCATGCCTTGATATTCATGTTAGCTTTTACTTAAGATAGGAAAGGTTGGTTGGTCCTAAAAGTATATAGCAAATAGCCAAACAGATTAAAATGAACACATAATAGTGCAGACCATGACCGTGGGAGACTAAACAGGCAAATGATGAGCCTTAAAGATGCCACATCAAGGGCTAAACTTTATGACTAATTTAACAAAATATGATTCATAAGAATGTTCTAAAGTTTGATTAAGATTTCTGCTGCTCATAGGAATTTACAGATTTCCTTCCTTAATGGTACTATTATTTGTTCAAACAAGTCTTTATCTCAGTCTAGTAACCTATTAAGAGATTACATCTTCAATTTTCTCTATTTATGTATTTTGGGACAGATCATAGGAAATTAAGAATAACTCTAACATTAAATGGTAACACTTGGGCTAGTTTAGAAATTCCTTGACATATCTATATAAACCGTTAATTCTAAGTAATCTTCTCTCTTTTTTAAAAATGTAGCATGGGGGGTGGGGGAATCTATCTTATTCTGAAACATGCAAATGATTAATTATAACTTTACATTGATACTAGGCAATAAATATGGAATAGAATTCACTAGGGGGAAAAAAAGGCTGGGAGGAAACTGTAGAGAACATGAGCTTTAAGAGTCAAAGCAAGAATTTGGAAGCTAAATTATACTACAGTCATCAGCCAGAGGACCTTGGACAAATTATCTTTTGATTCTGTTTCTTCAGCATAAAAATGTGTATGACTATCTTGTAGGGATTCTGTGAGGATAAGAATGGGTACTTATGTGTGAGAGCAGTTATTTCATCTTTCAACAACCTCTACACACAAATAAGAGGAAACTGTTATTGAAATATCAAATCATTCTTCTTTTAAGGTACGAAGTATACTATGAATCCTGAGTATGTCATAATAAAAGCTAAGACCATCAACTTTTCTGAGTTCTTGAACCTCTCTGAATGACGGTGAGAGAGGAGTTAACAGACATTTGTAAAAATCTTGCATAGAATTTCAAGAAATTTAAGCACTTCCTTAAAGACTTTTATCAATTAAAGAGAAAACAAACCCAAAAATCTCAGGTTAAAAAAAAAATTAATGCTGTGTATTTGACCTACTCCTATCCTAATAATTAATATATAGATATAAGAAAAAAACAGATGAAAGGATATCATCCTTCCAAGTTAAGAGCCACAAGGTTCGCCACCAAACAAAAACTCATTTCCCATGATGGGAGCAAAAGTTCTACTGACTTGTACTCAACTGGAGGTGTTGCTGGCAGCCACTACTTTGTCACTTGTGTCACCACGGGAACCCCCAGAAAGCTTTCTTTCCTCCTTACCCTAGCAACGTGACAAAAAGCAGTTCATACGTGGCTTTCCCCCCAAAAAATCTAATTCTACTTTCCAAACAGTGATTTTCTAATTCTATTTTCCAAATAGTGATCTAATAAGGCAGCTCATTCGTTATTTAAATTTGAAGATCATTCTTTTGATTTTTTTTTCATTTAATGACTTCAAGAGTCATTCAAACTTCTTTCCTTATACTATAAACACTTTCAAAAAGTAAACTATTGAATAAAAAGCTGCCTAAGGAAATAAAGTCAAAGTCTGAAACAAACAATGTAAAGCCTAAAAACTAATTCATAACAATTCTTGTTAACAAGCAAATATTAAAGTGCATCTAGGCAAACTTCTAATATTTAGGAAATGAGTCTCATGCATTGCTCATACATGATGACTACTCAATATTTTTGAATATATTCTGAATTCCTAGAATAGGAATGAGAATGAAGACAACTGAATATTAATTACAAGTACCTAGCATAATGCTTGACACATAACAGATGTTTTAAAAAAGTCTGCTGGATGAACAAACCAATCAATGACAATGAATGAACAAACAACAAAGGAAATATATGACTCGACTGAAAATTTGAACAATCCAGATTTCAAATTACAGAAACCTGACTCAGACAAACCTGACAGTATGAAACTGAGTTCAAGACAAAAGGCAAAGAAAAGAAAAAAGCAGTTATTTAAAAAGCACATTTTCACTATGCAGTTTTCCAGACCTAAAGAAAATCAAAATAGCAAACAGAAATGAAATGATAGAAGAAAAGGTCCAGAATCAATAGTTTATTTGTAATGGGCTTTCTTTTAAAGCAAAGCCACATAAAGTGAAATAAATAGATACTATAGCTCAGTAGATCAATAATAATTCAATAGTTTCATTATCAAGAACTACTTTAAAAAATCTGTTCAGTTCAACCTTCAAAATCTTTCGGAAAAAAAAAAAACCTCAGAAACTGACTTTAAAATATAAATCACTAATAAAGTAAAAAGTAATAAAGTGTGTCAAAATTCTAAATGTGATTTGTCCATTAAATGAATCAAATTTTAAAAGGCAGGTTAACATTTTAAGTATCAAAATTGATATTCTTTGGACCCTACTTTCAAAACTGTATGTGAATGAGGTGGCAGGAAGAGAAGATAGACATTCCCAGCTATAAAGATTTTATAAAAATATAATATGAACTACTTATAATAACTTGCACAAAAAACATATATTTCCTGACACGCAAAAAACATAGAACTTTTATTATTTAATTGTATAAAACTTTTCTTCCTTAGGCTTTTAAATTATAAAATAATATATCAGTTCTACCTTTTAACAAACTATTAAGAAAGAGAGGAATCATCTACATTTACCCATGTGGTGCCTGAAAATTGAAAAACCAGCCCGGACATTGGAGAAAAAGTTGAACTCAAGATGGGAGTTAGATACATCAGGAATCCTAGCCTGGTTAACGAATCTGGGCATATACTTTCCAGTTTATATACTCCTTGTGATATGGCATCTCATTCGGACACATAGGCAGTATGCTAGGAGAGTTAAGAATTTTTTTATTTTTAGATATACTGGAATCATACTGCAAATATGATACTTGGGTGTATATTTAAACTACATTTGCTCCTGTCTTACCACCTCTAAAATGCAAAAAATAATAGCACCTACCTCAAAAAACTTACAAGAGATGATACATGTACTTAAAACCCGGCACCAAATAACTGCTTAGTAGTAGCATCCCTAGTGGCACTGATATTTTGTCACTGGCATAAAACACACAGGCATAGTACAGCAAATGTATGATCAATGAATGAAAAAGACAATTCCATTATGAAATTGTGAATAAAGTGATGGTTACACAGATGAACTAGAAAAAAGGGATCCAAATTTCTGGAACACACTCATTCTGTCAAATCAGGCATGATTTAAGAATTCCATTCAAAAACCCTGATAACATGCCAGGCACTATATTGTACTCTGGTGCTATATAAGAAAGGATGAATTCCATGTCAAGTAAAATAGAGAACTAAAAGAGGCTTTCTCTATATTATAAAGAGGTACCTAACCATGAATTGGGTGGAAGGTGGAAGGGTGAGAAAGGAGTTGAAAGAGTCATACTTTTAAATTAAATAGTCACTTATCGCACAAATCAGTATCACTATAACAAGAGCAGACCAGTCTACAGAGCACATTTTGTCTTCCCCCGCCTCTTAAAGAGATGCTTAATGGTGAAACATTAAGAAAGGTACCCTGGAGAGGGAACCCTGAGGTGATGGAAATGTCCCATATCTTGTTTTGTGTTGTGGTTACACAGTGTATACAACTGTCAAAACTAAAAATACTAAACACTTAAGAACTATTTGTTTTATTTTATGCTAATTGCTTCACCATTTAAAAAAAAAAGGCTCATTTAAAAAAAAAGTGCTATTTTTCTCACAGGATAATGGGAGCATTTAAAAGGAGCATAACCAAGATAATGGCTATAGTTCCCTGTGCTATACAGTATATCCTTGTTGCTAATCTATTTTATACATAGTTGTTTGTATGTCTTCAGCCCATGCCCCTAATTTGCCCCTCTGCATTATCTTGTAATAACTTTCAATGGAGTATAATCTGTAAAAATACTGAATCACAATGCTGGACACCTGAAACTAATACAATATTGTACATCAACTATATTTCAACTAAGACGATTTTTTAAAAAGGAGCATAAACAAGTCTATATTCATTATAAAATGAACTACAGAATGATATGATCTCATTCAAAACATTTTAGGCAAGATATTCTTTTAACTTTTCAGTGATAGGTGATGCAAAAGAAATTCTTCAGATCACAGGCTACTAGAATCCCCCATATTCTCATTTGCTGCCGATCTAGGAATGGACAGACATATTACAGCTGCATTTCACCTGTTGTTCAACACTTTATGTTTGAGACCAGTCAGTGGAAATTTTGCTTCTTTCACTGTTAGTCTTAGGTAGACTTGGAGGAAAAGGGTTTGGGAGAAAAACAAGACCGGAATTACAGAGCTTTCAACTAGAAATCCAAAACCCAGCTTCTAGCTCTAGGACTAAAGTTTGCATGGCAACACTGGACAAGTCACTTACCTATTCTGTGCCTCTGATAATCTCCTAGCATAGGGCTGTCATAAAGGTAAAGTGTGTGTATTTGTGAAAGCACTCTGACAAGTCAAAGCAGTTTATTATTCTAAAGTGGCGTTGGTGCTATGATACTGTGGTCGAACTCCCAATTTAATCCTGACATTTACATGTTTTCAAGGGACACCCCATGCACATCTTATTTGAACTAGAATGGAACGTTCAAGGGGCAGAAACTGGTAGTTTACTTCTACTCCAAAAACCCGGGGTAGGAGGGCGAAGTCTCCTACACTACTGAACTTCCAGGAGTCTAGATTTCTGGGATTTTATCTTCCAAAACACCGGGGATAATCTAGTAAATTTAAAAAGGCAAATGAGGAAATAAGGCCTATATTACGATACATTCTTCTGTACCCTTGTCTTGTCAACAATCAATGAGGAAATGAATTGCTCCTCGAGTACAGAAAGGTTCACGCCTAAATTATCGTGGCGTGGTAGACAAGCATTAACTGTATTCCTTCGCAAATCTTTAGCACACACCTCAACGCCTTTCTCAAATTACGTCCATCCCAGGCACGAGTGAGAGCAAGGCCTAAAGGTCTTCAGATCATCCATCACAACTCCCTCCCCCTTCCATTCCAGGTCCAGCGGCCTCCGGCCATCACACCCTTTCCAGATCTCCCATCCCCTGGGCCGCCAGCCTCACCAGCTGTTCCCGGTGGCTGGAGCTCCGATCGGTTGGCGCCCGGCGGCCCCGAACATTAACGACACCCAGGAGCCTGGCCTCGAGGCTCAGGCCCGAGAACAGACTCCAACTGCCACAGCACCAGCGGCTTCCCAGGAGCAGTTCAGCATTTTGAGCTGAGCTTCCGGAAGCCGACTGGAGGCGGAAACCGGATGCCGGGAGCAACCATTAGTTCTCCTCCCCGCCCCCACCCCAGCTTCCTTCTCCGAGAGTCTCTTCCTTTTGCTCGCAGAAGATATAGAAGCCAATAATTTGAAATTTTTCATAAGAAAAATTTCTTAATTTTTCTTTCTAGTCTTCCGGAAACTGAAACAGTGTGAGGGAGAAAATGTAAAGTCAACGAAAAGTTGAACCCCCGGGACCAGCGGAATGGTTTAGCCCGGTTGCCTAGGAGACCGAGAGTAACTCCAGTGGTGCGGCTGGCGCGCTGAGGCTATGGCCACGTTAGCCCGGTTGCAAGCTCGGTCGACGACTGTAGCACATCAGTACTACTACAGGAACAGGTAGGGCATCAACTGGGGGAGCGCGAAAAGGCCTGGCTTCATCCCCAGCCCGTTATTCCTCAACAGGAGCTTCCTATGAGCAAATTCCCTAACTCGCTGAGTATCACCCTCTTCTCTTCGTCATTTGTGGGCTGCAAACAGAATCGCAAATTTAAAAGTAGTGTTAGCATACAGGGGGATTATAGATACAGGGAGCCATGGTTATCAGCTGGAGTTGATTTTATAAATTCCAGTATAATTAAAATTGTAAAATGAAGTGTTTTCCTTTGACATAATCACTCAGCAATGTGATGAAACCTGTGTCCTCCTTGTGGAAGGATTAATGGCCTGACTGGGGTCGCTCAGGCTCCTTAGCTGGGTGAGCTCAGAGTATCCCCCATCTACCTGGGGATTTGAACCTCCATTATGTCACAGATATCATTGAACTCAACTGTTCTGTGACTCAGTTGTCTTCCCGAAGTGACAGTATCTAAACTATTCTGACAGGATAATCAGTACCAATATGTTAATTAATAGAAGAGGGCTAAGGAAGACACTAGCGGCCTTATCCATCTCTCTACACCTAATCTTCTCACTAGTGGTTCACTTGAACACTGGCCTTCTGGAAGCAGTGCCTCAGGAGATTTTCCAACTTAAGAAAAAATCCCAAAAAAGTAAATCAGACCATAGTAGAAGATAGTGACCTGCTAGACCAATGGAAAACATGCCAAGAAGACAGAATCTTGCTGAGCTGTTCTTATTCTAAGTTTTCTCACCTACTACATTCTTAGAGCACCGTGTACCTTTTACAGCACTTGATCACAATTTAATTTTACATTCTGTTGTGAGATAATATATGAGATATATAAGTATCATCCCTCTTAGCTGCACAATAATTACTTGTCTAATAATTCCATAAATGAATCTTTCAATTGGCCCTGGTTTACATAAATGTATGAAAAATAGCTAAAGACAGAAATTATGTATTATCTATAATTATAGATAAATTATGTGGAAGGTCCTGTATTTATGATTTAGATATCTAAAAGAAATAAATTCCATCCCTCTGATGTTCACAGCCTAATATGGAATATAGGCATTTAAAAGATAATTACAACAGAGAAAGCATAAACAGGAAGGGAAATGACTAACATTTCTTGAGCACTGATTATGTGCTGGGCATTGCATTAGGAACTTTTCCATGCAATGTTCATTTGGTTTTCACAACTTTACAAGTGAATCTATATTTTTAGAGCTTGAGAACCGTGTTCTAGAAAAGCTTGGTGAAGTGTCATGCAACTGCAAACAGACATAATTTTTTTCTAAAGATTTCAGTGTTAATCTTTGTCTCCATCTCCTGACTTTTGACAATGGGCACATTTTCCCAAAGCTGGAGGTGGTCTGGAGAAAAAACTAGGGCCATACAAAAGCCATGATGAGAATAGGCTGGCATTCCTTCCATTTCATTCATTATTATTATTTTCAATATGAAGGAAAATCTCTAAAGATCATTAAGGAATCAGAACTTCCAAGTTTGCCTAGTTTTAAAAAAAAGGGTATTGATTAGCATAGGAGCAAAAACCATATAAAATGTTAGTATATGAAAAAATAAACGGGCAAGTTCCTTAAGAAATTGTTGTCATTTCTCATCTGTTATTGACTAGATTAGTTCTTTTGCAAACTTCAGTGTACATCAGAATCACCTGAGGGTCTTGGTAGAATGCAGATTCTGATTCAGTGGGTCTCATTTATGGCCAGCAAATCTGCATTTCTCACAAGAGTTCCTGTCAGGCCCCATTTTGCATAAAAAGGGAGACTTTGTAAGAAAAAAAAAATGGTGTATGGGCCTATCGTTTAATTTGTAAACATCCGTACAAGTTATATATTTATTCCTTCTTTACATGAGGCAAAGAAAATAAGGTTCAGATGGATTGATAATTTATATGAGGTCATACAGCTACTAAGTCTCAAAACCAAAAAACCCAACTCTAAGGCTTATGCTCTTCACTACCATACTAGACAAGATTTTCTTCCCACTACACTGGTTTTGATGAATTAACTGACAGGAAGCACCCAGATCTAGAAATCCAAATGGCATGAGCATACTGTTTTAACTCCATTAGCATGTAGGCACCAGAGTTGGAAGAAACAATTTTAATTCTTCTTGGTTTGTTTTAATGTCTTCTATGTTGGTAACAAGACAGTGGCAAAAATGTTTCTACCTAACAGCTGGCACCAGATTGCCTCTGAAGTTGAAACATGACTTTGCTGGGAAAAATATACTATGACTAAGTGCTTAGATTAGCACCTGAATCCTCCAGGGCCTGGGTGTCCACCCAGGAAGAGAGAAGCTTCTCTGCCTAACATAGGGGAAAGATTTGGAATTCCAAGAAGTGAAAAGCAAATATGGTGGTAGCTGATGTGATAAGAAAGCTAGGGGCATAGGTAGAGTTGTGCATTATCAAACCTGTCCAAGCCCTTTGGGAAGTTGCTCCCACAAGAAATGTTTGGTGGGCACTCATGTTTGGTGGTCTGCTCATCAAAGAGACTGAATATTGTGTCCAGGATGTCACAGGGTGGCACAAAGATAATGCACAGTTGTTATTTGACTAAGCATTGGCCTTTTTTTTTTTAAACTTTCACTATTACTTCCTAGTTTCATTTCTATTCTTCTGAATTACTGAGATTTCTTTGTGACTTATTGGTCATTTATACTATCCTATTTGTGGAAAGAAGTATTTGGTATATGTTCATTAATCATATTGTGCATTTTCCCCATATCCTTATTTAAATTTCATCTAGTTGATCTGTCAAATGCTAATAGGAATGAGTTCAAAATGTCCCTCTTCCACTTAATTCCACTGAGTTTCCACTGTGTGGTATCCTTTTATGTCATGTTGTTTAGCTTATATATGTGTACTGGTGTGTGTCTCTTCATTATTGGCTATATATTGGTCTTTTTTGAATGTGCAAAATGTTTCACCTTTGAATACTACTTGCAGTTTTTAAAAATTATTTTTATTATTTCTTTAAACAGATTTAATGCAGTAACATACAACTTGTAATGTTAATATTGATCCTCTTTTGTCTGATCTGAGTTAATCATATCGTTTTTGTATATTTCTCTTCACAAACAGCACATTTTAGGGTTTTAAATAATTAGAACCCAGGAAATTTGTGATGGGTTAAGTTCGTTTCTTTTTTTTTTAATTTAATGTTTTATTTTACATTGGAGTATAGTTGATTTACAATGTTGTGTAGTTTCAGGTGTACAGCAAAGTGATTCATTTCTACATATACATATTGATATATAGGCATTTTACAGGTTCACCCTATGTTAAGCTACTTTTTAATTCTTGTCCCTCTCTGTCATGACTTCTCATGAAGTCTGATCTGAGTTAATCATATCGTTTTTGTATATTTCTCTTCACAAACAGCACATTTGGGTTTTAAAAATAATTAGAACCCAGGAAATTTGTGATGGGTTAAGTTCGTTTCTTTTTTTTTTAATTTAATGTTTTATTTTACATTGGAGTATAGTTGATTTACAATGTTGTGTAGTTTCAGGTGTACAGCAAAGTGATTCATTTCTACATATACATATTGATATATAGGCATTTTACAGGTTCACCCTATGTTAAGCTACTTTTTAATTCTTGTCCCTCTCTGTCATGACTTCTCATGTAGAAGCTGTGTTTTATTTTTATTTTTTTAGATTTTAATATTATTCAGAAGAGAACTTATTTCTAACATTTCTTATGAGAACATAATGCACTCTACTTAGATTCTCAATACTATATTTATGAATGAAATATTCACTGATTAATTAAATATGAATGGAGCACCTATTATGTGCTAAGGACTGTTCTAGGTATTGAGGATACAGCAGTGAACAAAAGAGTCATGAGGGAGACAGAACATAAATAAACTTACATATAATATTTTGTCTTGAGGTGATTGTAACCAAAAAGAATAAAGCAAGGTAGGGTGAGCAAAGCATGAACAAACATCCTGTTTTAAATAGAGTGGTCTGAGGATGCCCCTCTGATCAGGTAATATTTGAACAGAGTCCTAATACAAGTGGATGAGTAGGCCTACTAGATAGGGATCTCAGGGATGAGCCTTCAGGAGCTGTAACATCAAGTGCTATGGCCCTGTTGTCAGAAGCCTGCATGAATGTTGCAGGACAGGGTTGGAAGCCAGATCATTTGGAGCTTTTAAGCCATAGTAAAGATATTGGATTCTACTCTGATTAAGATAGGAAGTCATAGGGGATTTTCAATAGAGGAGTGACTTGATCTGACTTCTGTCTTTAAAAATAAATAATGAAGAAAACTCTGAACTTATTTTAAAATTGGTAGAGCATTTTGATTTTGTTTCCTTTTTTCTGCTTAACTCCTCCAATTCCATCATTTATTAGTTTAACTCTTTGTGGCCTGTTTTGCTTGTTAAGAAAATTTAAGTCAAATTTGGCTTTATGAGAAAAATAAATAAGATTTGAAATCATTTTAAACTATATATAGTTTTCTAAAGGTATATAAGCAGAAATTAACCTAATATATGTCAAAATCTCTTCTAATTAACTTAGCTGAAGGGTATGTGTAGGGGAATATTGAGAAAGCAGTTGCTCAGGAAGAGGGCTAGAAGTTCTACAGAGACACTGTAGAGACCAAGTGGCTAACTCAAATTTCCAGATCCCTTACCCTCTGAAACGGGGCATGGGGAGTGTGTGAGGATAGAGAGAAGGGAGTAGAAAGAGAAATAAATGCAATTGAATATCTGGTATGTGCTGAGAACTCTGTTAAGTCCTTTCACCAATATTATTTTATTTTGACTTTCACAGTAATCATATGAAGTGATTTTTATTGTTCCTACTTTACAACGGAGGAAAATGAGATCTTAAAAGTGTAAGTTACTTGTTCAAAAAGATCAAAGATCTAATGAAGTTTGATTCATCTCAGTCCAAACCTTATGCTTGGAGTATGGGGACTTTAAATCAAGTCCCTGCATGGAATTAGGTA